TTTAATATCTCCAAGTCTGTATCGATATCGAAGCTTATGGGTATTATGGTTATTTTCCGAAACACGTTTGGCGAAATTTGAATTAGAGGCAGAAATGTGTTCTTTATATTTTATTTTAAAATTTCAATTTTCTTACCCGTACACAATTAATTACAGTAACGTTTAAGTTTGTATACGCCAGTATTTTCAAAAGAACGGGGATTTTTCGTGAAGTTTTTAATTAATTGTACTGTTTATATTATGTTTTATTAGATTGCTATTAGTCTTAAAAGCGGTTTTCACATTATTCGTGTTATTGTTCGAAACGTTAGACGTATTATTTTGATATTTCATACTGCGATATTTAACAACGTTGTTTAGTGAGTTGTGTATTGATTTTTCTTTAATACGTTTTAATACGTATTTTGATAGTATTTAAATTCGAATTATTTCTATGGGCTATGTTATAGATAATATCGAGTTCGTGTTGATAATTATGTTTATTTAATGGAAAATACGTCCAAGCCTATAGAATATTGAATTAAAAAAAAAAAAAAATGATATTTTTTCGAGAATAAGGATGATTCGAATCGTGTGGTATTATAGCGTCAGTTTGTCCGTATTGTTTCCATTAAATATATAAATTTACTGTTTAACTAGCTTTGTCCAGATGATTTATTTCTCGTGTATCTAAATAGAGAAGAAAAAGTACGAACGAATAAATAAATTAGACATGTCCAGATAAAATACAACACCCCTCGCGTAGGTATCATACTTACATATAATAAATATTTTTCGTCGGTCGTTTAGAGTTTTAACCGAGTTTAAGTTTTGGTTCATTCGCAACGCCGTCGACGCGGCAATATCGGCCCTTTTTGGCCGATAATGTAAAAGGCGTTGTTGTCGATTTCCTCGTGTACGTAATGCGTATTATAAGACCTCGCTGCACACTGGACGGGTTCCAAATCGCTAGAGCCCACGACCGCCGCAAGACCGACACCGCGAACCCTCGAGACAATTTACACAACGCGATCCGGAGTTATTTGCAGCCGAAACGAACTACCCAGACGCCGGTATAATATTGTGTTGGTTGTGTTTGCAGCCTCGTCGTCGTTGGGTACACGGTATGATTATATATAATATACATCCTGTTTGCTTGACCCCGTGTTGTTTGCGGGTTGTTTACCCGCGGTAATAACAGCATAAACGTTATCTATACCCGCCTAGCTATATTATCAAACGTTATTATTATTATTATTATTAGGTAGCTATAGTATATTGATATTTACGAAAACGGCATAATACGTTTTGCGGGTCGGTAAGTAATAACTTCCACCGTAATAACTTCAAACTATACTGATATAATTGTATTGTAATAACAATAATGACGAAATTTCGAGAGGATAAAAAATGTTCGAGGGCTGTACGTAGTATCCGTTTAGAAACGCGTAATACTCGAATAAGGTTTTTTATATTTTTGTAAGTGAAACAACCTTTTAGCAAAAAATCTACGTTCGACCTCGGAAATAATCTCCTCTTTTAAATTTTCGTAATTTATATTTTTAAACTCCGAATTCAATGTAAACGCCGTAATTTACATTTTAAATATTTTAATCTGTCTGGTTATTTTTTTTTTTAAATTTTAAAATGTATGATTCCAAAAATTGTCCACATAAATTATTGTTTTAGAAAATAAATATTTATTTACGTTACGCTTAACTTTACTTTGTCTACTAAGTACAATCGGTTGTGAACTTGTGTCAAATTGTTGAGGATTTTCGCACGGTTAAAATAATTTGATCCCTATAAAACCAAATAAAACCTCGACAATTTTTAAATGGTTACACGAAATTCGCTAGAATGTTTTCCATCTAAAACCATCCAAGACCATCCTAAAATGGTCTAATATAGGTAAAAAAAAAAAAAAAAAATCTAAAATAACTGAAACTTTCGTTGCATAAATGTTTTTGTCATTTCAGAATCTGAAATGTAACCGATTATTTTACGTCCCGCGGTAAAACGGCGGCGGAGAGTATAATACATTTATTTATAGGATAATTCCGACGGCGGCGATGGGTGCTGAACAAACGGTATGCGTACCTCTTTTATTCCCACCTTCCCAAGTGTACTGTTCGTATAAAAAAGTGTTTAAAAAGCAACAAACAAAAATCGTCGGTTTTCCGAACACGTACAGGTACATTTCAAGAAGCAACACCTACCCGTTCTGAATTCGATGTTTGACTCCTTTACGCATTAGACTCCGACATCGAAATGTAAACATTACTGCGCGTAAATTCTCATATTATATTACATATATTTATTTATTTATATATATATATATCTGTATATTCGGATTCCGGGTTTCGATGTGATGCGATATTACGATGTTCACGACATCAATCACTGCGAACCTCGTCCGTATAATAACTTTCTCGTTGAAGTATCTCCAATACTTTTCCCGTCGTATGTAAACAAAACTGCGGTAGCAGTGTTTTCCGGAGACTTTCATATAATATTATGTTCGAAAACTTGTCGCAAGTGGAATATTTATTTATATATATATATAATGATAATGTATGATAACGAAAACAGCAACCGCACGTGTATCCCGCACAGAGAGACTATAGTATAATATCGGCTTTTGTTGAAGATTTTTTTTTTTTCATATCTGCCCGGCCTCGGTCTCTTGGAAAACGTCGAACGTGCATTTCGCCGTCTCCGTCTGACCGTCTATATAACGGGTGAGAAAATAAAAAAAAAAAATCGTGTTTTTGTACTCCAATAGTATTCGGACCTCGTTGGTCGTATGGACTTGATTATGGTGCTAAAATGATCACGAGAAGTTTCACTAAATATCTAGAGAACCGTTTTCGTTATAAATTTTCATCTGCCGATTGTATACAATTTTTTCAAAATATTTTTAAAACGTCCATTTTTAAAATTTCAATAAAATATTAAAAAAAAACCTATTCTATTGACATTTCATGTTTATTTCGGCACCAAAATCAATTGTATACGAAGGTTCGGAGGTCGCGAAGTTCTATAAGTACTGTAGGACCTATGAAGAATCTGGGCAAAAACATTCGGGTCTATTATATCCGGGGAAAATGTATCCACTTTGAAATATCCAGGCGGAACAAATATAAATGTGGAAAATATGTCCGAGAAAAAAATATCAAAGTTTAAATGCACAATAATTAATAAATAATCATGTTGTTATTCATATACGCGCATAGATATTGATATTTTTACGGACGAATGCGATTTTTAAATATTGTATTATAAACTAAATCGTAACTGAGTAACGAAGAATTACTTTGAACGCACACGAATAACAACATGATTATTTATTAATCGTTGTACATTTATACTGTGACGTTTTTTCTTCATAGACATTATAGATCCGGATATTTTTACCGATCGCCCCTACGAGCGCCCTTGTCGCACTATAATGAATCGGCCGTCGGGCGGACAAACGGACGTTTGACGTCCTCTTAACACCGCGTTACTTGCCGTCGAATACGAGACCGGCCGACTACGCGACGGTTTTCCGCGGCTTTTCAACCGTCGGGTTTCCCGTTCCGGCGCACGACCACGGGCAAATCGGGTTTTCGGAACTGAATGTTAATCCCGTCGCCCGTCACATTGTCATTCGCTCCGTCAATTGGCTCGGACGTCAAAGGTTGCGCCGGATAATTTCCCCTCTCACTCCCCCCCCTCCGGGAAGCCGCTAATCCCTCCTCGGAGATTTGTGATTTTCAAATTAACACGACGTACCCGTGTGTGTATATGTGTGTATACTCCGCCGGCACATAATAACGCGGGCATTGTAGACGAGTCGAAGTGTTACGCGCGCGTAAATAAATCGAAAGCGGGAAAGAGAGAGAGAAAAAAAAATAAAAAAATAAAAATATATATATATATAACCCCGCGCGAGTCTTTAAATCCGTATTAACGGCCCGCAGAAAAGATCCGTCATTTTTCACGTCGCGCGCGCGGTGAATCACGGCGTTTAACGGACCGTCTCGGACATGCCGGCGAATCGTACGTAATCGTATATGCACCGCGAACCCTGACCAAACGCCGACGCGATTCGTCGGTTGAATTTATTTCGCAAGTTCGGACGCCGGATGATATTTTAAACGTTGGTCCCGTCGCCCGTCGGACTGCGGACGCGTCTGAGAACATTACAATTGTTCACCGGTTCGTGCGTCGGCGGGGGGGGGGCGCGCCGCCAACGCATACGGCGCGGGCGGTGACTGTACCGCATCCACCGCCTTTGGTTTCTTGTCGCGCGATCGTTTTCCGGTTAGCGCGACGATATCACGCGCGCTGTATCCGTGTTGTATGAGTACATTTTAAACACGGTGAAAAAAAAAAAAAAATGTTCACTAGAAAAAACTCGTAATCGTCGAAATAATTTGTACGTTTTTATTTTGTGTCGGTCTACAGAGTTCGGGCTTTGAAGGCCGATCGCCGTTCTCACCGTTACGCACCTCCGCGGATCCCCTGTCCACGGCCAGACGTGCTCCGGTCCTTTATTTCCGTGAGCTCGAGAACTCGACTTCCCCGATTCGGTAACTCCGGCGTGGTTTTGCTCTTTCTCCCGGTGTTTGTCGTCCGGTTTCCACACTGTAATATCACGTGGGCATTATAAAGTCGCCCCCCCCCCCCGTCCGCTAAACGTATCCGGCTCAACTAATCCGCCGTCTTTTGAAAACTCTATTTATACCCGGCCCGTTGCCCTTTGCTCTGCATTTTTCGTCCTCCGGTTCGTATACATGTTCTACTTCGCGTTTATTCCGGNCAGCGGTTCCCAACCTCTTTAGTTTCGCGGACCACTAATTTTGTAAAAAAAATATTTGAGGCCCACCCATAGCATACCTATATACGTTTTCATAAAATTATAATATATAATATATATTATATACGTATATACATGTATATATAGTTATTAGGAATAAAAAACAATTGAATATTAAAAAAAAAACTTAATTCAACTTTATCACAAGATAAACAATTTAATGTGATTTTTGACATTGCTTGTTCTTCACGAGAGAGTCAATATCTGGATTAAAACTTGTCAGTTTTAGTCTTAAATTACTCTCGACATTCAGTTTATTCCTATATTTATTTTTTAAATAAATTAAAGTAGAAAAAGCACGTTCACATAAATAAGTTGTCGAAAAGCCCATCAAGTTTCTCGGTGCAATTTTAGTGATTGCTGCATAGTCTTTCCGAACATTTAACCAGAATGGCACTAATTGTGTACTTTTAAAATACGATTTTAAAGTCTGATCACATGACATTTCAATCAACGAATCTTCTTCACTTGCTGATATTTTCAATTTTTTCAAGTAATCTTCTTCAAAGGGATTTCTGATCCATTGGAATTCCTCTTCAATTTTAGGGAAGTAGTTTCTAAAAACAGTGTAAAAATGATTTCAATTATGTCTATTAAAAAATATTAATTTGTAATTAAGAAAAATAAATAATTAAAAATAACTTGAGGTTGGAAGCTAAAGATTTGAGGTGATCTTGTATAGTTGTAGCTGTTGCTTTATCAATTTTAACTTCGTTAGTTTCAAGAAAATCACGTAGGACTGGAAATGCATCGAAGGAATATTGTTCTACTTTTAGAGCCCATCGTTGAAGCTTGATTATCATTGCATCGGCTTTGTCTTGCACAAAAAACTTATGAATGTCTTTGCCTTGCAGAGTTAAATTAAGAACGTCGAGGGCACCAAAAATATCCGCCAAATACGCCAATCGTTTCAACCAGTTTTCATCGGTCACCAATTCTAAGAATTCTAAGTAGGAACTTGCAAGTTTTCCATTATAGTCCCCTTCCATAAGGNAAACCCCAAGTTCATCACGGAGCTCAAACAATCTTGATAACACTTTACCTCTTGACAGCCAACGAACTTCACAGTGAGGTAGAAGCTGTTTGTGTTCACTTCCCATTTCGTCACACAAAACACCAAACAGTCTGGAGTTTTTAGGAGTTTTTTTAGGAGTTTTTGTAATGATCTAGAGTCTGGATCATTACAACAATCTCTTTCCGAACGAATTTGTCGATGCCCACGCCCCAACCCCCCATATATACAATACCGTTGTATGGGTCTGACGATTACTTTACATATAGACGTGTTATAACACTACTCGTAATACTCGTAGTACTATGACGTACTGTATCGTGTTAGATTATTTTTTCCCGAATTCGAGTTTGTACACTTCTTTCTGAATGTATACATTTAGGCGCATATCGTTTTACAGGTTTTCTCGAGGTTTTTTTTTTTTTTTTTCCATTTACAGAGACACTCCGTCGACGGTTTTGACACCGACGCGAACCGAAACGGCGGAAACAATACGCGCTAGCCGCGACTAAAAATTATCGCCTACCGGCCATATACTGTAGTTTGTATTACAGCGCGCGTTGGGAAACGTTTCAAAAACGTCCGTATACCGGGTATTCGTCGCGGGCCGCGGCTAATTTACATTCAAAATGCGTTTTACATAATCGTCGGAATACATAACATTACGCCTGTGAGAAATCCGTGATTCAGCAGCACTCGGGAACATTCGGTATGATATAAACGCGGGCGAGCCCGCGGACCGTGCGTTGTATTCCGTCGGCGATTGGGAAAGACGCACAGAAAATCCAGTAAAACGGGTTTTTCAAAACACGAAACAAAACGTCGCCGGAATAATCGCGTGTCGCGATGCTGCCCGGATAACGCAATGCGCGCCTGCCGTCAATAATCACGCCGACACGGTCCGCCGTCCCGGAGACTTTCGGAATACCGTGATCGAATTTCTGATTTTCGTTCTCGTTGTAACGTTGTCGCGATCACGCGGAATACGGCCGGGCCGATGCGCCGGGCCCGCGCGGCCGCCGCCCGGTCAAACGGGCGCTTATGGTATACGCGCGGGCAGTCGAAATTCCAATGGAAACGCTAATAACGTTTCGCGATGCACGGCCGTGTTGTGCAACATCACGATATTCCTTATCAAATCGTAAAAAATAAACCCAATCGTCGACGGGTGTTTGTTGTACGCGTATAAACGGACCGTCTCGTAAAAAAAAAAAAAAAAATGTTTATTATAATATGCGATAAAATACATTTACGTATATATATATATATATATATGTATATATATAAAAAAAAAAAAAAAATATTATAGTATATTAATGTAAATGTATTTTTTTTTTTTTCCATAATGCACTTATACATTCAATTTTAATAGTATTCATATTTTATTATACGCTATTCAAGAAAAGTAAATAATTAATTTCCGTTTTATTATTCCGCTGCTTTTTATGGTGTGCAATGGCTCGAAAAAAAAAAAATAAAAAAAATAAATAAATATTTTAATTGTTAAAACTCTACGTCGACTGCTATTGGTTTTAGATTCTGAGCGAAATGAAAAACCTATGGGTTTTACTGTGATTTATTCAATTTGTATTGATTTATGGCTGCAAAAAACTTTTCTATCAAAATTCTTTTCTCTAATCAAGAAACGGCAAGAGGTTTTTTTGTACCATTTTAGTTGGCGCAAATCCGGGCAAAAACATATAGAAAAAAAAAAAAAAAACAGGAAAGTTTACGGTGATAAATGTTTCGATTTTTTCGATTTTTTTTTCTATCGAGTTTATGAAATTATATTTGTTAACGATTTAACCTAAATAAATGATAAAATATTGTTAAATTTTTGTATTATAATTTGTCATGTCATATTCATTTTTATTTTTCATTACACAAATAAAATTTAATATATTATTTTGGACAGAATAAAAGAAAAAAAAAAAAATGACAAAAATGCGAATACCGAGTGAATTATGACAATATATGCACAATATTAATTTTAAAAAAGGAAATAATCTCGGAAAACCGTTGAAAAATGTAAAAAAAAAAAAATTATCTCTGTTCTCTTTATATATATTTTTTTTTTTCGAATAATATTACTGTATGCAAATGTTAATAAATTGATGCGCTGTTAAATGACGCGTGTTAATATATCATATGAAATTACCGTACAGAAATTGCGTACAACTTGATATTATTACTATAAACCAACTCGCGCAGGAGCAACTAAACGCGCGTCGCACATCATCACAACGTCGAGGTGTTATTGAATTTCGTCGGAAAAAAGGATAACGTTAAATGTGTTAGACATAACTATTATTATTATTACTTTTTTTGTTTTTGTTTTTTTTTTTTTAACTCGCGCGTATAATATCACGGAATCGATGCCCTCGAGAATAACGCTTCGAGTCATCTCCGAAGCGTATTTCAACGGTTTGTATACTGTTATAATATACAATTATGTAAATTTGCTTTATCACATAGTTGTGTATAATTGTTTAATTAGATAGGCACGTACTTCGAGTCTCGATATTAAAACGATAAAAATAATTTTAAACCAGAAATTATGTCTTCGGAACCGGCGGCGTGTCGGATAGGCCGTAAAGCACCGTCATAGTATTATTACGGTTCAATCGTTAATTTTTACGCCGCTATAAAAAAAAAAAATAATAAACAAGTGCGTAAAGAAGAACTGCGGATTTCCGGGCCGTTCCACGCGCGGACGTAAACGCGGGGGAGCCGAGAATCCGCCAAACCACGGCGCAGGGAAGCGGTGGAAAGAAGAGTCGCCGCTGCCGATGCGGACGGTCCACGTGCGAGGCGGGAAGACCGGGGGAGAAATGAAAAGTGAAACGAAAACGGGTGGACACGGATCGGAGATAATAGCCAGTGGCCTCGGATAGAGAGAAACGACACGGAGGAAAATGTCGCGCGCAACGGTTTTCAAAAGGCCGCGCGAAAAAAAAAGGCGCGTCGATAATGTCCCGTATATCCGAGGTGATGCGTCCGTTAGGTCTAATAATATTCGTATAATTTCGCGATAAAAAAAAAAAATTAAACGAACAAACAAAATCGTCTCAACGGACGTTTCGACATTTCACCTCCCCTTTTCCGGTGAAAACGTTCCGGAGACGCCCCCCCCCCACCCCGACGTGACGTCCGTGAATTTATACATACGCATATAAATATCGGGCGCGCGTCTGGGCGCGATTTCTCCGGTTGTCGTTTATCGTTTCGCGCGTTTTGTTTTCGCGCGTTCTCGCGCGCATAATTACTGCGTTCGCGTGCGGTCGTGCCGCGCGCAAAGGCGGCGCGACCAGCCATACATCACAACGGACGGTATCCGAGCGGTACGCGGGCGTACGGGGCGGACGGTGGGTCCGCGGGTGGGATGGTGGTGGTGGTGGTGGGGGNGGGGGGGGGGGGGTGTGGAACCGTTCGGCGGATCTCAATGCAGCAATTCAATTCAATTCAGCCGCCGTCGACCGCCCCGCAGCCGGGGTCCGCATTGTTCGCATTCGCGCGCCGGAGGGGAACGCGTCCCCGCGCCCGCCGCGCCACTCGCTCGCGCCACCGCGATTCGGCGTCGTTCGGCGCGCGCGAGACACTTCCGGAATCGGCGGCCGGCGCGCATCGACCGGCCGGCGACCGCGGTCCGGGACGCGCGAATACTTTCCGGAATCAGGCGGCCGGCGCGAGACACGACGAGTATGTACTCGTTCGTATCCAAAAGACACCGGCCGGATATGGCCGCGGGTGTCATAATCGCCGCCCGGCAATTGATCTCCGCGTCCGTGCGCCAATCGGAAAATCGCCCGGAAATCCACCCGGAACGAACGCGACCGCGTTACCCCGTCGGGCGGTTTAATGTCGGGATCGAGAGTGTCCGGTGCGGTCACACCCATCTTACTGTCGTTTTGAATGGCCACCGCGCAAAGTCGTTTTACCGAGATCGGAATGAGACCGCGGCCGCACGAAGCGGACGGACGGACGGGCGCGATTTCGTTTTATGCACAAAGGTAATACCGGAACCGACGTTCGCTCGGTTTCCTCGGCACCGAAATCGTCCCTGTTATGTCGTCCGTACATAACGAGGTTTATAGAACGTACCGAGCAAACGTCGATTGTTATTTTCGATTGTTATTATTATTATTTTTTTTTTCGAAATCAAAACCGTATTGTTCGAATACCTGTACGGGACGCATTGTATCGCGGGCACCGAAAGTTTCCCGGGCGAACACTCGTAAGTCACGGCGTCAATTTACAGTGCCCGGTCGGGAAAACGTAAAATTCAGCTCTCGTATATTATTTCGTCGACAATAATCTCAGACGCCGCCGCCGCCGCCGCCGCCGCCGCCGCCGTATTATAAGTTCTACCCGTATCCCGTGTACCTAAGTGAATTTCGCGTTTATAACGGCGGCGGAAACTTCTCGAAATCCGTCACGCGCGCGTGTAGCGTAAGCGCGTTACACAATATATTTATGCGAAATTGTAATTGCTGTTGAAACTGCTCTGCGCACCCTAATTGATATAATTTTATTAATGGTCTTACGATCTTGTCGAGCTCGCGCGTATTATTACCGTGGACACGTGCGATGCGTCACGCTACAAAACAAATAGACAGCCGACTGTTAGACGGCCGAGTCCCTCAATAGGTGCAAACCGTAACGTCGACGGTTACGAACAATTTGATCGGCCGTGCACCGACGGACCCGTGAAATTCGCGACGCTTATCAGAGTTCGCATAGCCCAATAGGATCGCCAATTAAGACGGCAATTTTTTTCCAGTTGCAGCGAATTTAACGACGCGTTTTTTTTTTTTATTCGCATTTATTGAGGTTTTTATGAAAACGCGTATTTTTTGTACGATAAACATTTTTTTTTTTATTCTGTACCTATTCTTAGTAATATTTCTTATAAATCATAATAGTTAATAAAAGTTGTCTGTACACTATCGAAATCAATTATTATTTATCGACGAACGAGTTTTTTGTACACAATTATTATCGACAAACGTCAAATAAAGATAAGATATTTGAAGAGAAAATTCTGGGTATTTTATTTTTTTAATACACGGCTCGCCATTACTCCGCCAG